GATTGGCAACCAGGAGGTGCGTCAGGTTCATCATGTGCCTGCGCATGCATAGGAAGGTGACATGTAGTTTCACGGGTTTCTTCCATTCATTCTGCAATTTGTCAGTCAGTTCGACCATCCTCATTATGTCTGAGGGGACATATACTTCAAAGATATCGAGGTTCGCGATGTAGAACCAGAGCATGTGATCGAACCAAGTGATCACACCGCTGTGCATGGGGCAGTTACACTTCGGGTATGGTCTCCCAGAGTTCTAGAGTTTTTTGAACTCATAGAGCTCAATGGTCGGTTTTTGCACCGCCTTTTGGTGGAGCAGTGGCTGGCATTTGGGACACTTGGATTTGTCAAGTGGGCCAAGGATGGGGAAATTGGCATCAATCGGTGTCCTGCAGATGTTGGCTTTCTGGGCCTCATCTCTGCATTCGGCCAGATCGGCTTCTGATAAGTTAGCGAGTGCTGCATAGGCTTGGATGGATATGGGTGCCGCGTGGTTGAATGAGTCGAGCAGCCATAACTTGTGATCATAGCTGCTGCTAATGCTCTCAATCCATCTAGCGGTTTGAACCGGGATGAAGGGTGCGTCTGGGGCCGTTTTAAAAAAGTTGGTTTTTCGAGGAGTGGGTGAGGACAAAGCAGGCCTGGGTTAAGAGGGCTATTTGTTGTCTCTGCGCCCTCTTCTTCAAGTACCAGTCTTTTTCGGCTTGTGCTGGGTTAAGATGCTCAATGACTTGGAGTCTGTGTTCGTAAGAGTTCTCTGTAGTGCTTACCTCACCTGGGGCACTGAGGTGTGTAGAGCTAAATCCGTGGATGTCGAGAATGACCTTCTCCGTTTTGGCGATGATCTTCTCCATTTCACGGTTTTGAAGTGCCGGTTGTTTGATGAGTGCAGTGATGGCGAATGTTTGGATGATGGGGTCTTCCTCGTTCTTGAGGGTCTGCCAGAGTGCCACTTGGCAATGATGACCGCCCAGTCTGAGAAGAGGAGGTTTTCGATGAGAAACGGTGCTTGCGAGTTGGATGCGTCATGCACCTTCTGAAGAACTTGCTCCGGGAGAGCAAGCATGGCGATTTGGGCGTGAGCACTTGGTGGCGCAAGGTAGATGAACTTCTGTGCTTTCTCGGCGAGTTCGTGATGCCATCCCTTGTTGGCGTCAGATTCGTCCTGCAAGTGTACGCATGAAGCAGTTGTTAGTTGGGATATTCTGAGTTAGATAATGAGGCATACATTTTTTGGGGGTTAGGTTTGATGGGGTGGTCTAGGTTGTATTTTCTTCTGCCGAAGGTAGAGGTGTTAGTTGTTGTATAGCAAAAAAAAGGGGGAGTAGGGGTGAAGCAAGATGGGTTTTGGTGTCGGTGTTATATGTAGCTCTGGTTTTTGTTTGTTGTGTTGTGGGGGGAGTTTTTCTTGGTTGCGTGTGTGTGTGTGTTATGTGTGCCTCTTATGGGAATGTAATGTTTCCTGTGGGGATGTAGTGTTACCTGTACATATGTTGCTTATGGGTTGAAGGGATTTGTTGTATTGATGCTTGTGGAGAGGTTCGTTTTGGGGGGGTATATGTATATTGGGTAGTTTTTGTTGGTCCTACTTTTTTTATTTTTTTTTAAATTTTTGTTTAAAAAGGTTATTTTTAATCCGTTTTTATGGTTAATTTATTTATTTATTATTTATTATTTTATATTTTATATTTTAATAATCTTATATACATAACAATAAAAAACAGTAAAAAAATAATAAAAAATAAATTTTTATTTTATTTTTAATCTTTAATTTTTATTTTTTTGTTTTTACTTTTATTTATTTTTTTCTGTTTTATATTTCATATGCATATATGGTACATATAGAAAGAATGTTTTATATTTCTTGGGAGTTTTTTTTTTGGTTTTATTGAATATATGTAGGTGTATATTATCTATGTATATATGTGTATAGTTTTATGTGTATACATACGTACAGGGTCACCAGCCCGTACGTACAGAGGTCCCCGGGCAGACCTCCGTACGTACGGGCGTTTGGGATCCCGTACGGGGTCCGAACCCGACCGCATTCGGCCCCCGCCAAAAATTATTTCAGGGCCTGAAAATAATTATTTTTTTCTGAATTTTGTTTTGTGAGTTGGCTATGACGTAAGGTACATGCCTGTACATTTTCAAGTCATTTCGCTTAGCCAAATAAGAGTTAAAAATCGCCAAAGATGGCGGTGTCAAATCGTGCTCACCCACGTATTTTTTCCCTTTTTACTTTTTGTTTTCACTTTAGTTCGGGGTCTAAACAATTTTATTAATTTTTGAAACTTTTTTTGTGGGTTTTGTATTATGTGAAGTACACATCTGYAAACTTTCAGGGCATTTAGCTATGCCAAAAAAAAAAAAAAAAAAATCGCCAAAGATGGCGGTGTCGAAAACATGCTCGCGCACTCACTAAATTTAATTCTCTTTCTATTTTTATTTATTTTGATTATTCGTATTTGTTTTCTGTATTTTATTTTTATTTCAAATTTGGTAAGGAATTCGGATGTAATTCTCAGGCAAATCTTGTTTAATTTATTTTTCTCCATAACATATCTTTTTTTCAGTTTTTTTTTGATAACTTTCCCCAAGGGGTCCCATACGTTCGGGTTCGGGCGTTTGGCCCATCCCGAACGCCGGTTACCCTGCATACATATATATATCGTCACAAACAGAACTGCCCGGTAAACCGTAGGCAGAGAGAGAGAAGAGGACAACAAACGAGGGGCTGTGACAAACTGTTTTGTCATATATATATATATATATACATATATATATATATACAATAATATACATATATATATATATACAATAATATACATATATATATATACATATTTATATATATACATATATATATATATACATATATATATATATATACAGGGTCACCAGCCCGTACGTACGGAGGTCCCCGGGCAGACCTCCGTATGTACGGGCGTTCGGGGTCCGTATGGGGTCCGAACCTGACGGCGTTCGGCCCCCGCCAAAACTTATTTCGGGGCCTAAAAATATATTTTTTTTTCTGAGTTGTTTTTTGTGAGTTCTCTATGAGGTCTGGTACATGACTATAAATTTTCAAGTCATTTTGCTCAGCCAAATAAGAATTAAAAATCGCCAAAGATGGCGGTGTCAAAATGTGCTCGCCCACGTTGTTTTTCAGTTTTTACTTTTTGTTTTCACTTTAGTTCGGGGCCTAAGCAATTTTATTATTTTTTGAAACTTTTTTAGTGAGTTTTGCATTATGTAAAGTACACATTTGTAAATTTTCAGGGCATTTAGCTATGCCAAAAAACAATGAAAAATCGCCAAAGATGGCGGTGTCGAAAACGTGCTTCTTCACTCACTAAATTTAATTATTTCTTCTTTTTTGTTATTTTTATTATTAGTATTTATTTTTCGTATTTTATTTTTATTTCAATTTTGGTAAGGAATTTGGATGTTATGCTCAGTCAAATCTTGTTTAATTTATTTTTCTTCGAAACATATCTCTTTTTCAGATTTTGTTTGATTTTTTTTTTTTTTTTTTTT